TAATAGGCTTTTCTTTTATGTAAAATATAATTTATTTATTGATTTAAAAAAAAAAAATCTAGACAATATTTTGACAGAGATTGACCCATATGCCTCTGCTCTTACAAGAATTCATAAGACACCTGCAGCTTACTGACTGGCATATGTGTGTAAACAAAGCTTCATTAGTGAAGAACAAAAAAAAAAAAAGGAACTGGAGCAGGTGCAAACTTTAGCAAACAAGAAAAAGGATTTCTTAAACTCTGTCAAGCTCAGACAAGCCTCTGATGCACTTCCTCTCACTGTTAAAGAAAGGAAGGAAGGAAGCTGCTTGGAAGGAAACCATCAGTCCAGGATGACCAGCTTCTCATATGTTTGTGGGCATCAAAAAAAAGAAAGAGATTTTGTCTTCTGATGCCAAATGTTATATTTAGCTTGTTCATTTACCAAATACTCAATATGCGGCTCTGTGGAACAATAAGAGATGTGCCCTCCTGCACTTTGATCTACTGACTCAGAGGTCAAAGCACAAACTCCCATCAGCCTGTTTACAGTCTCCTTGACCTCTGCATACCTGTCTGCCTTCGAAAATAGCTTCCTAAAAGCTTTAGAAGCTACACTCTTCTTCACTATTCCCCCATATCGCCTACTCCAACTGGGGAACATTTTGCCCCATTAAGATCTACACCATCCATCAGCAAGTTAATGCAAAGCGCTGAGGTTGTTGCCGTTAAGCCGTAATGAGCTTCAAGCTCCATTAGAACAGCCTGCGTCATTCCCTAAAAAAAGTCTTTACACAAGAATGGTGTCTTAAAGCCCACTTCATGGAACAGCTCCTTTCAGTCCAGATGAACTGAACGAGATTACATCATGCTATATTCTACGAACTCGCAAGTGACTTTTTCAATTGTGAACTTAAGGTGTGGTGCGCTCTGGTTTCAGGGGTCAGTATTCCCAAATTCACGCACACATGCTGATAGCTCAGGTCAAATTACTGGGATAACTGAATAAAGGCCAACTCTGAAGTGACCCGGGATGATATAAGGCTCCATCACCCAATGGGAGCAGACATGGAATATCACGTAATCTCTAGGAAATGCAGCTGTACAGAGTTGCATTCACTAATGAATACCATACTGACCCTCAGTGCCTCTATTGTCTGCAATGCTTAAATCCAGGTACAAACAACTCAATGCATAAACAGATGTGATTATTCCCCAGTGCACTAAAATAGTTCTTTCACAATCAGTTTGTTACGTTTTAGGGCTCAATCTGATGTTAAAAGGTTTAATGAGCGAACATGTTTATTTCCACACAACAGGAACATTGTGTGATTATAAGATTATTGTGTGATTAATAGCATGCACATGTGAAGCATACCAGCTGGTTTGCTATTATTCATGTCCATTGTATGACAACGTACTCAAGATTCATACACTGAGCTGCTTCGGTTATTTTCAGCAAAACACACATAATCTGTAGGAGAATCTTTGTAACCCATTAAAAGTGGAAAAACGGGGGCTAAATCAAATTAGCCAGAGAACAGAAGAATCGTATCGCTTCTGTCTGACAGCCTCTCACCTCAAGTGCCCGACACATTATTTAATTAGTATTGACTAGTGGTGTTTAGTTTGTGAATGAATCAAATCATTCTTGTTCACTTCCATGCACTGACTCATTTTTTGTTCTCTGAACATGTGACTGCTTCCTGCTTTCAAAAACTGACTATAACAAGCATTGCTGGTGGGCTGTGAAGCATTTAATTGTTTTGTCATTTAATGGTTTTGTTTGTGAACTACAAATGAAAGTCACCTGAACGTGATGAATGAATTAGAAATATTGCTTGTGAACGAGAATGCATACAAATGACTGATGACCATACACAATTAAAATGGACATTTTCTGAATGAAACAATGAACACAATGTACAATGTTACAATGTGCAGAAATGGCCTCTTAACATTGCTTCATATAAGTGAAAGATTTTTTTGTAAGCGAACTCACAATATTTGAATGAATGCAAATCCAGCAACATCCATTTTTTTTGTAAGCACCCTCAAAATATTAGTTGTGCATGTCTGTTCATTCATTTGTGATGTTCATTTACTTTGCAAAATAAATGTTTTGTTCATTCGGTGCCGCCCCGAGAATCGTTTACTTTAATGATTCATTCAAACACCGATTCGTTCACGAACAAAACATGAATAATTAATTTCCAATTTATGATAACAATGACCTCAAATGCCCTTAAAATATTGATCTTCTTCGGTGATTTTCAGCATAAAACACACAATTGTTGTGAATTATTGTAACCTAAGATAAAATAGCGGGCAACATCTAATTAACCAGATGTGCAGTAGAAGAATCAATGGCTTCTTTTATGTCTGACAAAGCAGCCTGTCACTTTAAGTGCCCGACTCGTTAGTATCGATTATTTTCCGTAGTTTCTCCAAATCATCACAGACAATACAAACACTTCAAGGGAGAAAATATCACAAACTGAACTGCAAATACATTTCGACTTTTACATATATCGACAGCCCTGCAGAAAACGTATAATAAAGCTTTTCTGTCGCCGGCTGAGCCACGTAAAAGGGTGGAGACTATACCAAGCAGGCAAAACGTCATCGCAACGCCTTTCAAAGCATAATAGAACAATATTTTGCACTTAAAACCTATAACTAAAAGTCAGTTCTGTCTCACATCACACAGTAGCACGGCTTTATGCACTGTTAAACTGTTTCCGATGCAAAGTCGAGCTGACAAGGCTGTGTAGCAGTGAAAAACGTAGTTTACAAACGTTTGCTTCATGTTTATGTAATAGACTGCAAAAACAGTGAAGAGAAAATACACGTGCCTGCATTATAAGCTGATTGGGGACAATTCTATACATATATGCATATTAATTCATGCCATTTTATTTCATCGCACTGCTTATCCAAAGCTATACAAACTTTAAAAAAAAATCTGTTGCACTGTCAACACTGTGAAAGAAAAGCACATCTTGCACGTGATACTAGTAACAGCAGTAACGCAGCATACTGTAACATTTAACAGCCACCAGTGCACATAATAAATGATTTAAAACACTGTCTTCTGACCTGTTGCGTCCTGTCTGAAGGATTCACCATCACCGCCTGCCGAAAACTGTTATCCACATAGGACGCCATGGTTTTCAAAACAATCGCGCAGAACAGTTAAGTCAAATAATCCGAAGCAAATATCACAAGTGGCTTTTTAGTGAGACAAAAACGTTGTTATACAGCCGCAACTGCAGAGGAGAGCCTGTACCCAGGCCACAGCCTAAGCCAGGAGCTCTCTTACTGTCCCTCGTCCCAATCTTACAAAGCCAGACAGTCTGCTTTTCCTATTCCAGCCGCTGAAGCTTCAACTGTGACTTGACAGGCTATTCTGTGTTAATGAAAGGTTTTTGCGGGCAAGCGGTACGTCTGTGTTTTACGCAGACGAGTGCTTTTTTTTCAGGATTCCGTTTGTCTCCTGTTCGCTATTCTATCTTCTTCAGTTTTCCATTTTAAAACAATGTGCAATCCATGCGTTGGGTGATTGTCCATTTTAAGCCATTTGCAAATCAGCGGAGGGTCAAAGGCAGCATTTATAAATAGTGTTTTAGCGTCTAAACGCGACGGATGGTCTGCCGTCTGGGCTCGCTGTTGTAAACCACCACCATGGTGACCGACCGCCTCAAGAGGTTTCATGGGCGAGTCCATTCAGCACAATAATGCGCCCACAGACCAACCTACCCACAACACATAGTGCTTGTCTCCATCCACTGGCTGAAGACGGTAGTGCAAGCTTTGAGTCATACACTATTATAATACACACATTTCCTGGCAGGTATGGGGAAAGACAATGATAATCCAAAAATTAAAATGTATATTTCTTTTTACTTTATTTTTGCTAAAAAATATATATATCTGCAGTTTTATCATGTAAATCCATCTGTTACTAATTCAAAATGCAGCTTTGTGTTTTCCCAAGGTAATCGTCATAATATAATCATAACAGAGCCTTTTCATATTAGCTATACGTGCCAAATATGGTAGCTTTCTCTGTGCTGTGGCGAGTTTTACACAGAGGGGAAACTGGAATTAAACAGCTCTGGTCATGTGATAAGAATGTTCATGAAATCTAGACATATGCACTTTCTTAAAAAAAAAAAAAAAAACATTGTGCCTTTGTTTTGTTTTGTTTTTTTAATGTTTTTTTAATCAGTAAATAAACCTTATAATATGACACTTCCATGATGATGGAAATCAGTTATCTGAGACTTATATCAACAAAAGCAAACCGGTTCAAAGACATTGTTTGAATATCAAATATTCTGCTGATGTGCTTTGAGAAGTAGTTTGCCTCTACAAACACTGTCTTTGCATTTATAAACAGTAAACGTCAAATCTTACATTACATTTTTGCATTAGATGCTGTTATACAAAGCAACTTTTATTGCATTGAAAGTATACATTTTATCAGCTCATGCATTCCCTAAGAATCACACCCATTCATTTATTTATTTATTTGTTTGTTTGTTTGTTTGTGCATTTTATTTATTTATTTATGTGTGCATTTTATTTATTTATGTGTGTATTTTATTTATTCATTTATTGTATTGTTTGCTTATAGATTTAGACACTATAATTTAAATATACTGTGAATTCCTTCATTTATTCCTTTTTCAATCAGTCAGTCTTTTGTCCGCTTGTTTATTTGTCTGTAGGCTAGTTATTTAGGCTATTGTTTCAAATGTATAGGCCATGTACTAAATAAAAATCCGTGTTGACTGACTTTAGTTTAATAAATAGTCCATATAAATAGCAAAATACAACCCGACTAAACACTGGTTCCGTGGAGACCATAGACCAGGGGTGCCCAAACTCTGTCCTGGAGGGCCGGTGTCCTGCAGAGTTTAGCTCCAACCCCAATTAAACACACCTGAACCAGCTAATCAAGATCTTATAGGCATACTAGAAACTTACCAGCAGGTGTGTTGAGGCAAGTCCTGCCCAGGGCTTGTTTTACAGCCACTGAGATGCGCTTACTTATATTTCAAAGATCTGGCAAGTGGCAACAGTTTTAAGACCAAGGTAGCTTAAACAAAGTGAAGGTGATGAAGAGAGTACAACAGGACACTACATCTTCTCAAGCAGACAGGGAAATTCAGAGCTCGTCTGGACAGAGAATACTGTTCACAGGTAACAAACAATCTGAGGTTATTATATAGGTGATATGTTTACTTACAATTTCTTTTGGTCAAAAGATCCGTCAAGTGTGACACATATTGTCACTGTGTTCAATAAACTGTATATAGAGAGAGTCAATATGTGTATACAGAAACAGACTTTCAAAAATAACCCCATGAGAAATATTGGTGTAAAAAGTGAAACAACTAACCACATTTGTCCTTGTTATAGGCCTATTTGTAGACATAAATATAAATAAACAATACATTTCAAAGTTTTGGGATCAGTAAGTTGTATCACATTTTCCAAATGCTTAAGCAGCAAATCAGCATATTAGAATAATTTCTAAAGGATCATGTGACCAGAGCTGGGTAGATTACTTACCTACTTAACTGTAATCCGTAACTGATTATAAATTACATGATAAAAATTTTAGTTAGTACTGTAATCTGTTACATTACACATTTTAGGTAATAATCAGACTACTTTTTGATAACGTTTAGATAACTTTTGACCTAACTCGTTTATCACATTGATTTAAATCTTGTAACATATAGATAGAAAATAGAAAGAGAAAGAAAATGTATTCATGAATGCTATTCATTTTTATTAACAACATGAAGTGCATTAAACATGACATTACATCAAGGTTTCCCAAACTGGGGTTCGTAAAGGAACTGCAGGGGGTTTGTAAGTTTAATTAAAAGCTCATAATTAATTAAATAATAAAAATGTCAAATTAAAATAAATCGTTTTAAAACAACATCAGTCAGTTAGAAAACTTACTAAAAAATTAAATGTTTTATTTGTTTACCCCCAGTCATGTGTAGGTTATTTTAAAAAGGAACATTTAAAAGATGAAAAAGAGGAATTAGAGAGCATCAATAAATTATGAATAATTTATTGCTCTAATGTGAATAATATGTAATCAATAAAAAAGTAACTGTAGTCAGATTACGAGTATACAAGTACTTAGTTTTTGGAATCTGATTACGTAATCCAGATTACATGTAATCAGTTACTACCCAGCTCTGCATGTGATAAAATTCAGCTTTGCCATCACAGGAATAAATAGCATTTTAAAATATATGAAAATAGAAAACAGTTGTTTTAAACTGTAATAATATAGATCGCAATATTACAATATTTCACTAATCAAATAAATCTAAACAATATGAACGTCATATGCATCTCAGTGTCTTTTCTAGGATCAGATTATTATTAACTTTATGTATTTGTTTAACATGTATCAAATAATTCTGCAAATACTGCTTTGATTGTATTGCCATATTGTATGTGTCTGAATTATGAAATACTTTTTTCCCCCTTGTTATCAGCTTGACAGATTTCAATCAGCCAATGCAGAAAGAAGAGACTCACAGCCCGTGGTGAGCTACCAGTAACCAGGGAGGGAAAGGTTAGATTACCTCCGGCTCCCCCTGTTACTCTAGATGGTGATGGGTTTCACTGGCAGGAAATGGGTAGAGTGGTTCTCCTCTAGTAATCAATAATTCAACGCTTGCACACAGGCAGAATCAATCCCAGTTTCAGGACAGACAACCGACCTGCGGGAGGCTTGCTTGGAACCACAGTGCATATGATACCTACAGCGAGGACGACAACAAACAGTTCCCGCTTAACCAGGTGAGATGTAAACAAATGCTACACACTCTGAACCCTGTATAACCTCAATGCCTGATTGTTATATTAAGAATAAACTGGAATTCAGTGTCTGATCAGTGTGTAATCTTGTATGCTTCACTTAACATTCTCTCATTGTTCTTCTGCAGTAAAAACAGTCAATATTGAGAAAGCACAACCAGACGGCATTACTTTTTCACGGATATGGATCAGCTCTGAAATATGACATGAGGCCTATATAAGCTGACTGATTCTTGCAATTTATTATCCATATAACATTTTGTAAATTCTTATAAAATCACATTAAATGCATCTTTTTTGCTGTACTGTTTATTTCTTGGCTCATTTGCCTCCATGTTATCAACTGGAAAAAAGAGGGTTTTAATACATTCAGTTATTATATTTGTGGGTAGCATACAGAATATTTAGTCCCAAATGAATGCAAACTTTAGGAAAAAAGTACAGAAACAAAGCAGTTTTCTTCATTCACTTTGCTGTTTACCTCATATCTGTGGTTTAAATTGTCAGGAGCTCGTAAAGCCTCAATAACATAGAGATCAAATCCTCTTAGCAAGGGTCACTGTACATTCAGACAGTCGATAGGAACTAGAAAGCAATAATCCTGCAGCTAAAAGAGGTTTATATGTGATCCCGTCTCTATCACTGGTCAATCCCAGTTAATAATAGTACACAACCCACTCCAGCCGTTTCCAGTATCTTGAGATGAACAGACACAACCTTGTTCAGCTGCAATTCTCACTTTTTCATTACATTTTTGAGACTTTTTGAGAGTATGGTTTGACCTCTAAAGTATTGCCTTCTTCAAGGAAACCTAGACTGGATTTTTTTCCCAAATGATTAGGTACAATATTGTATTATTGTCTTTGAGCAAAACGGGTCTTTTCTAATGAAAATAGAAAAATCTTGTTCATTCAGAAAATGGCAAAGACCGTTGATTATTTAGTAATTGTATCAAATTAAAATGATGTCTATTAAACCACACAGTGCAGGTTGCAACAGTAGGTTCAAACTATTTATTTTATGTTTTGCTATGGTTATTTCATAAAAAATGTACAAAAAAATAAATAAAAAAATAGGATCTCATTGATGCTAAAATGAAGTTTTAGCAAATAGGAGCACAATTATACTGTGCTTTTGATCTGGAAGGAGGTGAAATATGGAAAGACTCTTGCCTGATTTTGAAATGTTTTCATAAATATCTGACTATAAATAGCTGTAAAACCTTATATGTCACCCTTGACCACAAAATCAGTCATAAGTAGCACGGGTATATTTGTAGCAATAGCCAACAATACATTGTATGGGTCAAAATGATCGATTTTTCTTTTATGCCAAAAATCATTAGGATATTAAGTAAAGATCATGTTCCATGAAGATATTTTGTACATTTCCTACCGCAAATATATAAAAACTTAATTTTTAATTAGTAATATGCATTGCTAAGAACTTAATTTGGACAACTTTAAAGGCGATTTTCTCAATATTTAGATTTTGTGCACCCTCAGATTCCAGTTTTTCAAATAGTTGTATCTCGGCAAGATATTGTCCTATCCTAACATTATTTATTCAGCTTTCGGATGATGTATAAATCTCGATTTAAAAAAAATATATAAAAAAATGTGACCGTTATGACTGGTTTCGTGGTCCAGACTCCAGGGTCACATAGGAGGTATATTTTTCAAGCTAAACAGTACAGCGAATCCGTGTACTAGACTCCAGAGCAGTAGAGGGCGCTACACGCTCACAGTTACAACTTTACTAGTGCTTTCCTTTCACATGATATTCCAGTGACCCGTCCATTGTAGAACCATTTTCCCTGTCAAAATCAAAGAAAATGTCAAACCCAACTCCTGTAGCCAAGCCTGGAAACGCAGACAACCCTCTGGTATTCTTTGACGTAGATATCGGTGGCGAACGAGGTCAGGATCTTTTATTTTTCTTTAGAAAGTAGCTGAATGACTGCATGCTGCTGTGTTCTGCCACATGCCTGTAACTGCACAGAAGGAAGACAGACAGAAATAGATGCGCTGAACTCAACCATAGATACAACTATTTAGAAAAGCAGTGTAAATTTGGCATTGAGTGTTTGTTGTACTGTTTACGAGTCACTGTTGTGCAGTACATTTTATGTCCCCTTCAAATGGATTAAAATATTAAAGTCACATTCTTTAAGATTGAAATCATATAGTTTACATTATTATAGCTGAGTGTACATGGGGTGATTTTTTAACATGAGAAATATTACAGGTGTACTCATTTCACGTGTTTCAGCAATATTCCATACAAAAAATATTTCTTTGCCAGTAGTAGTATTAAATAACAAAAATACAAACTACAAAACGGCAATAAATAAGAGAAACGATGACAGTACTGCACAGTTCTACCCTTCTGTTACAGTAACTCCTTTGGAAATTAAACAGTAGATTTTAAAGGGATAGCTCACCCAAAAATGAAAATTTGATGTTTATCTGCTTACCCCCAGGGCATCGAAGATGTAGTTGACTTTGTTTCTTCAGTAGAACACAAACGAAGATTTTAAACTAAAACCGTTGTAGTCTGTCAGTCATATAATGGCAGTCTATGGGCTCCACGGCTTTGAGAGTCAAAAAAACATACACAGACAAAACCAAATTAAACCCTGCGGCTCGTGACGATACATTGATGTGTAAAGACACGAAACGATCGGTCTGTGCAAGAAACTGAACAGTATTTATATCATTTTTTATCTCTGATCCACCTAATGTCCAGCTGTCCTGAATGCTTCTCAACAGCCAGCGCGTGACGCGTGTACGTGTTCTGGCATAGTAGACATAGATATATATAAGTAGATGCCTCATTAGTGACTGTTTCTATGGGCCGCGAAAATCTACTTATATGATGATATGTTATATGTTGATGCGTCACGCGCCGGATGTTGTGAATGCGCTCAGGACAGTTGGACATTGCGGTGGATCAGAGGTAAAAAATGATATAAATACTGTTCAGTTTCTTGCACAGACCGATCGTTTCGTGTCTTTACACATCAATGTATCGTAACGAGCCGCAGGGTTTAATTTGGTTTTGTCTGTGTATGTTTTTTTGACTCTCAAAGCCGTGGAGCCCATTGACTGCCATTATATGACTGACAGACTGCAACGGTTTGAGTTAAAAATCTTTGTTTGTGTTCTACTGAAGAAACAAAGTCAACTACATCTTGGATGCCCTGGGGGTAAGCAGATAGACATCAAATTTTCATTTTTGGGTGAACTATCCCTTGAAGTTTTTATTATGTAAAGCAGACTCAATATGGTCAGATTGGCATATCAAATGTACAAAAAAGGACATAGGGATTGAAATAAAATGTAAAAATACAACATCAGTAAAAATATGTAATATCTCATGCATAATTAAAGATCAATGAAACAATCTGATGATTCATTCCTGCTGTTTTTATCTCTTTGCAGTTGGCCGTATAGTGTTTGAGCTCTTTGCTGATGTGGTCCCTAAGACGGCAGAGAATTTCCGTGCTCTTTGTACCGGCGAGAAAGGGATTGGTAAAAGCACCGGAAAACCGCTGCACTTCAAGGGCTGTCCATTCCACCGCAGTGAGTGTCCTGACCTCCCGTTTCCATGGAGACGCATGTAATGATCTAATGGCAGGGTTCACACAATCGTGGAAAAACCTGGAGAAATCCGGCAACTGTCATTTCTAGGCCTGGAAAATTTATGGAAATTACTATATAATATATACTTTCTTTCCCTGTAATGCCAAGCTCTAAACTTTTTCATTTCATTTCATGCTTGCTAGACTATAATTTGTAAAAGTAAAATGTTTTTTTTTTTATTAGACACGTATATATCAAGTTAAGTATAATCATTTAAAACTATAACAATTGGCACGACATACAACTGGAAATCCACTCTCTATAAAACATTTAATCAAAATCTTATTCAGTATTAATTCGTATGTAATCAGTTGTATTTATTTTTGTACCCCTCAGTCATCAAGAAATTTATGGTCCAGGGTGGAGATTTTTCTAATCAGAATGGAACCGGAGGAGAGAGCATCTATGGGGACAAGTTTGAGGATGAAAACTTTTACTACAAGGTACCACAGAGCTGCTTTGCTATAAAGGGTATTTCACCCAAAAATAAGTTGACATTTTGTTCCAATCCTGTAACACAAAAGTAATTAAGGATTCTCTCGAAAATTGTAGAAATCATGATAAGATTCTGGTCACACCACCCCTCCCCAAAGTATGTCAAACCTTGTTTAATGCACATATTCCCTGAAAAAATTGCAATTTTTTTAGTGAATTTGTCCTTTAATTAATCAAAGCCATCAGTATGTGTAATTGCTATGAGATTAAATAAACCAAATGCGGCACTTGATCTATCTCCGAGGCATTTGCTAATTTTCTGGTGTCTGCTCTGAGGAAAAAATGAGATGCAGATAAAGCTTCAGTTTTTTTTGTCAAATGAAGTGGTGCGCTATTAATCCGGTTGTCTTTTGCCCCCCCAGCACGACAAAGAGGCGCTGCTCAGCATGGCGAATGCTGGCCCCAACACGAATGGCTCACAGTTCTTTATGACCACGGTTCCCACACCGCACCTGGATGGCAAACATGTTGTTTTTGGGCAGGTGCTGAAGGGAATGGGGGTGATGAAAATGCTGGAGGGGATGGAAACAAAGGATGACAATCCTGTGAAGGTGACCATGTTAAAAGCACACAAACATCTTTTACTTCTTAAATGCATCATGGCATTGTGACAACTGCTTTCATGCTTGGAACTATAAAGCGACAGATCTTAACTGGTCCTGAAGGACAGCTATTTCTGAGATCTTTCTTTCACAGTCATTTAGTCACCCTAATCAAGATTTAATCGTCTGGAAATTTAGTCTGTCACATGTCCTGCACAGGTGAACTAGCTAAGTGTGATGAATTAATGTTTTGAAAGAAGACATTGTGTGTGACCATTTTTTTCTCCAGTAAGGAAATGAAGTATTTTCCTTATTCCAGTGAGCAACTGAATATTTAGATTGATTGTAACCATCATCTCTCTCTCTCAGCCCTGCATTATTGCTGAATGTGGAGAACATAAAGAAGGTGATGACTGGGACATCGCACCTAATGACGGCTCAGGGGACACATACCCAGACTTCCCTGAGGACTCTGACGTGGACTTCAAAGATGTCATTATATTTCTGCATCTTCACTTGCATATACA